AGATAATAAAGTTCAATTTTATAAAAAAAATATATTTTACAATATATTATTGTGCCGGTATAAAATAGCAACTAAATATCTCTCTAAATCGTCTTTCTAATTATGTGAAATAATACATTTGGCACACGCGCATGGCCAAAAAAAATTTTGCCATCCGACACGAGCTGCCGTGTTTACACGCTCATGTAAGTGCCTAGGAATATGGCACTCAGCGTTGGGTGGTTGCATCCCGACACACGATCATCGAGATGATGATCGTGATCGTCATTATCGTCGTAATGACTATCAATACGGCCCTAAGTGTCATCAGCAAATTTACTTATGTTGCTGTCTATGCCGATATCTATGTCGTTTATGTATATAATAAACAATAATGGTCCAAGTACTGAGCCTTGGGGAACTCCACTTGTGACGTTGCTCCAATGGGACTTAGTGCCGTTAATGCTCACTCGCTGTTTCCTGTCCTGTAACCACGCCCTAATCCATTTAAGGATGTTACCTTGATGTCATGAGCTACCCTTTCTAATTAGTCTTTCGTGGGGACTCTGTCGAAAACACTAAAGTCGAGATATCATAATTGTGCCCTCGTCCACCGATTCGAAAACTAATGAAAAGAATGTTAATAGATTAGTTAGGCAAAACGCAACCAGCGAAGCCATGCGCCAGAATATTCATCAATCAGTTGCTTCTCCAGATGATTTCGAATAGAGTTTAGAAACCATTGCCCAGTAATTGCCTACTATTGATGTTAGATGATTGGGCGGTAGTTAGAGATGATCTATCCCCCTAGAAAATCCGATACCACATTCCTTCTCCTCCGATTCTATTTACACCTTTTTTTAAGGACATATTGCAAACAACTTTGCAAGAACATTGCCATCCTCCTTACATTCCTTTAATGCTCTGGCAAATATCTCAAAATCGGGACCAGGTGACTTATTAGACTTTAATTGTCTTTTGCTTACTAACATCGTTATTAGTCACTACTATCTCACTTAATTTGTTTTCCTCACTATCACTAGAATAAAAGTCG